AAAGTACGCGAAAAGTACGCGATGTCGTCGACGACATACTCGACCCCAAAGAGTTAAAAGCATATAACTAAGATCGGTGGATCTCATGGGAATATGGCCGATTTACGATCCCCTCAAATTAACGTGATCGAGGCCGATCGATCGGCGCTAGCTCTGACATATGCTACCATGGGTAATACACGGTATGCTGTACATCAGGGTAGCCAACCCAGATCCTAGCTGGTCTCGGATGAACCAAACCTGACCTTGGGCAGATAGAAACTCATCAGGTAGGATGGAAATCCTGCTGGGTACCGGCAGGTTTCATATTTTTTATGAAGTTACACATATTAGTATTACACTGACATATCAACACCAGTTAACATCTGTAAGTAAAATAAGTAAATATTGTTCAAATTTATGTAGAAATGTGTTCCAGTGGTCAAAACTATGTGCTTTTTATCCTGGCTTTAAATCAAACTTCCGCTCAGTTTGTGAAATTTGCATGTTCTCCAAATGCCACGTGGGTTTCCACCAGACATTCCAGTTACAAAGCATGGCCACACTAAGCTGGTTACATCACCATCATCTGACTGGTCGAAATACACGGTGATACGAGTGATCTGTGCTGATACGCATGGATTATCTGAAGGAAAAAAGGGCATATTCTATATATATTATTCATTATTAGTAGTGTTGCGATGTATTGATGCTTTCCTGAGAACTTGGAATTTGAAAAATTCCAACCTCTTGCTCAAAAAGGTATTACAGAACAGCTGAATGGAATGGATTCATAAGGCAAATTTACACACAGCAAATGCTAATTCCATTAGCATTTGATGCTAACATAACACAGGAATTTTCACAGACTTGCTAGCAGAATTTAGCATATAGTAAATCACGATGTGCACCATATGAACAGTAAATACATGTCTCTTTGGGTTAACATCACTGTTGCTCTCCAAACACGACAACGTCTTTTCCAAGCCAACCATTTCGCAGTGGAAAACCGAACTAGAACGTATCTCAGTTCATAGTACGGACCAGGTATGGCTCAGTTCCTGTATGCTAGTGGAAAAGTAATATATAGTAGTGATTCCCAACCCGGTCTTCCGGGTTACCAGACTGTCCAGGTACTGGACCCAGACTGTCCAATACCAAAAACATGGACTGTCTGGTGGCCCCCGAGGACCGGGTTGGGACATACTGGCCTATGGGAAAGCAATCAGCAAACCAGGAAACCTTTGATATATCATTCATTCATCAGGGTTTAAATCAGCGCAGCGAATACCCTGGAAACGGGCAATGGTAACACAGGCAGCCATGAACACGATATAAATCATTCAAAGGAATAACACTGGACATATATCAGACATCTGACTTCATAGTTCATGTTTTGTGTTTTCGAAATGATGGTCACTGGAAAGGACTTCCACTCTATTCAGTCCAAGGATGATAAGGAATCCAAACTGTAAGGTCAGGATTGAAATATGTCCACAGGAACTGGCCATTACAATAACCAATAAAACTCCATTATCCTGTACAAGTAAGGCCATTAGCTTAATATGACTGTCAGTGAAGATTGTTTTCCGCTAAAATTATTTCCTGCGATAAATCTGTCTTAGGTACAGTACTATGCAAAATCTTAGGCAGTCAGAAAAAACGTGTAAAGCTTTATTTGAGTAGTAAGTGTATATTTGCACAGAAGAAAAAAACGATTTAACATTCGAATATATGCAAATGAAGAGTAACACAATAAAAACTAACAAGAATTTCTTCTGCTCTCCAGAAAGCTACTGATATTTCGCTGGCTGGCTAGATCAACAGTTTTTAAAAATCTCCTCAGTAGCACCTCAGTCATTCTATGTGTTTGTTAAATTTCACCACCAGCTCAATTAGTTAATTACTTAATTAAATTTGTTAAACAACTCAGTGAGGCTTCGATTAGCCAAACAAGATGCGGTAGCCATCAAGTCAAAAAATATGGGTGAATTGGTGGTCGGTTGCCACGGATACTGGGGCGATTTTAGCAGGGGTTTTGAAACGGCTAAGCTGACACACTTTGACAGGCATAATATAATAGTTTTACACCAATGTGAAGATCATTTAAATATCAATTTTTTTGACTGCTTAAGACTTTAGCACAGTACTGCAAATGTTGAATCTACAGGGCTTCTGAAATGGATTAAAACTACGTGACACTGAAAACAAAGACCACTATACCACACTGTATAAATATTCATAATAGATGATATTGCTGCAGACCTCTGCTACAAAAATTGTCCCTTTTTATTTAACATATTTAAGACAAACTGCAGTTGAAACAGTGTAATAAATGCTGTACAGTGGATTCCAACAAGCTTGTGTTAAAATATCAGTGTAACGCCAGTTTCTGCAAGTAACAAAGTGTAGCTTTTTAAGGTTTCTGGCTCTATTATTTATTTGTTTTTAAACTGACAAATACGCATCCCTGTGTTCAAAATAATAATGTTGTACTGAAACGGTTACAGAATGACACAGTGAAAAGAAATGTTGGTCACCTTGAATGCTGGCCTGTACAATCACACGAGTTACATTAACGTGATGCAGTTATTTTAACGTAGCCAGAAGAGCAGTGCTATTAAGCAGTGATGCAAGGAAACCCTTGTTCACTTATTCGATGCATACCCTCTCTGAACTGGCAGCTGTAGAGAATTAAGATTTAAGAGCCCGAGCAGCCATTCTGAAACACTGCGGGGAAAGACAGCAGCCACTATATAAGTCTAAATGCAAAATAGAAACGGGCAGCATTGTGTGTTTGTGCCACTTTCTGCCCACTGCGGCCTGTTTCACTGTTTCAATGCATTTCTCAGTGTGTAATATTTTCCTGTAATAACAAATACTCCTGTAATAATAATAATAACATTCATCATCATCATAGATAGATAGATAGATAGATAGATAGATAGATAGATAGATAGAAAGAATTAATTCCTATGGTGCTATTCACTAAAATCTTCACAATAAACTAAATAACTTGCTAAGAATACCAATTTTAATCTGTCTTTAAAATAATTCCAGTGCTGCCATATGTCTGATGTAATTTGGAAGGTTGTTGACAAAGTAGTAGTGTTTCACCTGAACAGCAGCATAACACACTTACAAAGCGGCATCTACCATCTTGTTCATCCCACGAACAAAAATAAATGATTCCAAAAAATGTTCTGGTCGCTTCCATTTGTACTGCTTAAAACATATTATGGAACATATAGTATGATAATACAGTAAAATCCCGTTATAGTGGACTCGCTTATAACGGAATATCGTCTATAATGGACGAGGTCCACTGGTCCCGGCAGTGCGCCTTTAAGAACATGCAGAGAAAGCATTGGATATAGTGGACTCGCATATGACGGAATTTCGCTTATAACGGACAAACAATTTGGTCCCCAGGGCCGCTTTTAGCTGTAGTTTTGTTCGGGTATAACGGACATGTAGAAAAAGCATCGGATATAGCGGACTTGCATGTAACAGAATTTCACTTATAACAGACAAACAATTTGGTCCCCAGGGCTGCTTTTAACTCTAGTTTTGTTCGGCTATAACGGACATGCAGAAAAAGCATCGGATACAGTGGACTGGCATATAACAGAATTTTGCTTATAACAGACAAACTATTTGGTCCCCAGGGCTGCTTTTAGCTGTAGTTTTGTTCGGCTATAACGGACATGCAGCTCCGCCTACAAGGCACGTGGCGTGCCGGTGATATCCAGCGCAGATACGTAGTCGGGATTATTAATAGTCATGCATCTGGTCAGGTAAAGTTGGATTACTACATGTACAATATAATAATCTATACCACAAGTGTGTCTGCTGGGGTGTGGCATGAGTAAATGGTGTCCTGTAGCTGTGTTCTGGGCATACAGCAACTCTGGATATAACGGACTTTGGATATAACGGACCTTTTTGCCAGGTCCCTTGAAGTCCGTTATAACTGGATTTTACTGTATCAGAAGGGCATTGGAACCGTATGCCTGAAGACCGTCACCATGAAGCAGTGCTTTGGCCCTTTTCCAAACTGCTATGCAGTAAAGGCAGTTAAGCACTTTACTTACAGAGAAAAAGTATTAAAAAGAGGGATGCTGCATATTGATTTAAAAACAATAAATTCTAGAAATATTCTCCAAATGAACATCAGAATTATTATAATTATTATTATTGTTGTTGATAACGACAATAACAACAACAACAATAATAATAATTATAATTAGAAAATCTAATTATTAATAATAAAACACAGTGTACTTTGTTAAATATTTACTATTAATATATAACAATGCTGGGACCAGTAAAGCAATTTCATAAAATTTCATTTAAACATTATTTGTTATTCAAAAACTTTATGTTCAGATAATTATGCGTATTACTTAAATGTCATAAGCGATTGTCTTGCTGGGACTTTAACTTACCCAAAGGACAGTGTGAACCATACAATGGCTAGCTTGATTGTGTTATCCTTCACTGGGTAGCTCAAGCATTTCATGAAAGTCAACCAGATCTGTAGAAACAGAAAACGTGCAAACTCGTTTTACTGCTTAATAACACTTTCACACACTCTTTCACACACAATAATATGTGTGATGTCAGGTCGCCTGACAGCATGTTTCTGAACTGTAAGAGGAAACGTGAGAAGAACGTGCAAACTGTACAGCCAAATCAGGGAAGTCAAACAGCAAGTTTATACATCAAAGAAGATTTCAAGCAGAAAAATTTAGATTTTGATTTGCTGGACCAGAACTATCACAGCACTGCCATACTCACCCCATTAAGCTCAGTCTTCATCCTGAAGAGGACTTTGGACACTGGGTTTGCACTCTGAGACTCCATCTCCACCAGCTCATCAATTTGCTTTGGAATCTTAATTCTGTTCACCTGCAAGCAAAAGCGGTAAGAACCAAGCTATGGTTATCTGTCGTTCTTACACCTTACATATCTAATGCAGATTTAGCATCATCATATTAAGCCTTAAAACATAAGACCTGGATATAGTAAAGTGGTCCTCCACTGACTGACTTTATTAATTTATGTAAAAAATCAAAAGAAACACATCATCAGATGCAGCCAGTAGGAAGTCTTATAAATACCACTGGAAAATGTTCTACACTTGTGTTTGACTCTCCCATCCAGTCTTATAAATACCACTGGAAAATGTTCTACACTTGTGTTTGACTCTCCCATCCAGTCTTATAAATACCACTGGAAAATGTTCTACACTTGTGTTTGACTCTCCCATCCAGTCGTATAAATATATCCAACAAGACAAGGGTTCTCTGTAAATTCAGCTAATGAGCCACGTTGCCAAATTGAACCACAATGTCAATATTAAAATATTAATATCCAAAGATCTACTTTTAAAAATTCTTCTCAAACACTTGTTACAGGTATAGAGGTTACAGATACAGGTGTCAGAGGGAGCTTAGGCTACCGGTTAATGTTTTGAAGGAGCTGAAATTTAATTAGAAGAGAATACAGGGCATCTGCATCACTGTTACAGCCTGGGATTCATCACGATGCATCCCAGCAGCTTTAATCTCTCCTAAGAGCTCTGTGCTCCCTCCCCACTGCCTCACGTTAATGAGCTTCTCTCTCCGTCTGGCAGAAAACAACACCCAGTAGTTGTTGAAATGTAGGAGCTCATCAATAACCTTGTGCGAGATTCTCTGTTAATTGAAAGGTGCGGCGTTTTTAATCCCCCAGCCGCGCTGAGCCCCTTTCAGCTGTGCGCGGAAGGCAGACGACACTCACGGTGAAGACTTTCTCCGGCTGGCCGCGTGCTCGCATGTTGGTGTCGTGGATGTGCTTGAGGACCATCCAAGCCTCGTCATGCTTCCCCACCTGACCGGAGACACATGGTGCTTTGTATGAAGGGATTCGGCCATCACAGCACCACAGAGAAATACACCCCCCACCACCGTCTCTGGGAAGCCAAGCATGGAGCAGTATGATCTTATGTGCTTTGGCGTAATTTATGATAGTCTTTACTCTGAGCCTCCCTTAGCTTGGTTTTACTGCAGAGCTCATGAAATGGATGATGATTGATCAAGGACAATTCAGCTTTCCAGGACACTCTGTTTCTGGCTCACTGCCCCCCCCCCCCAGCCAACGTTCAGCACGATACCTGTATATTTAAGAAGACATCCAGGCTTCATTCTAAGCTTGTGACATTGCAAATAAATGAATCACACACTTGATCTTTGGCAAAGTGCCCCAAGCAGTTGAGGGAATGTTAACTAGAGGTTGTCACTTGGTTACTTCATTCCATTATGATCACAGAATGTGTTTGTATTTATCAAAATTGATCAGATTGTGTGCATTTTGAGGCGAGTGTCCTTGAATGAACTGCATGAAATGATTTAAACAATCACAGGATTTTTCTGAGTCTGTTTTGTCTGACTCTCTATCCTCAGTGATTTTTACTCAAAAGCATTTAAGTGAATTTCCTAATAAAGAAATAAATAGGTTTTGGTGAGGGTCTTCTTACACATTTTCAATCATTTAATACTGGGTACTATAAACACTTCAGCATATCACAGCCTTAAAAGGAAGAAAGTCTTCACACATTTAGTCAGATAATTACCGTAAACACATATTAAATAATAATTACAAATTAAGCTTTAGTAAACCGGACTTGACATCTAGGCTTGTAATCTATTTATTACTTTTATATCATAGTCTTACATGCTTGCCATAGTTATTAATTATTGTAATGGAAGGTGATATGGATCAGAACCAGCCACTTCTAACCGTGATTAGGCATTCTAACAAAACATCTCAAAAACACACTTTTTAAACATAAAACCCTACACACATTGCTATGCACACTTGGGTTCAGCGTAAGTAAATACTGCATTCATAAAAGGAACAGGAAACCCAACAGATTTATGTTTAGATACACAGCAAGCTGCAATATTCCAGGAATGTTCTAATAACCTGAATTTATTAGTTAGGGGAGTCAGCAATATTTTGTCCTTTTCTAAGCACAGGAGAGGAAGAGAACAGCCTGTCCTTTACAACACCACTGAGAGCAGATAAGGAAGGCAGGTGCGTGTAATTAGCCACATTGTTTTGCTGCAGTTTTGTTTTGTACTTATACTTTAAGGTCGGTAAGACGCAGCTTAAAGTTTACAAAGTCAGGAAAGGGTCTGATCGTGTGCATGAGTGTGAGTGTGCATTTCTGTCCAGTGATGCACTGATATCTCACCCAGGGTATTTGCTGGCTTTGTGCTGCCTGGGAAAGACTCCAGGCCTCCTGTGACCTTGTACTGGGTTAGCAGTTGGATGATGGATGGATGGATGGATGGACCACACCATCCTATCTATACTCTTAGAGAACTTCTCTGAATTCACTAAATTAAACTCCATTGTGGCACTAACAACGCATTCTATTACACATGCTGACATGTCAGGAAGGCGGTGAATGCGGTTATGCTGTCAGGCCTACAGTACCTCGAGAAAGAACCTGGGACTCTCAGGCACGAAGGTGAGGGACACCACGGAACAGACGCAGGGCAGAGCGCAGACCACCACGAAGACCCTCCAGCTGTGGAACTGGTAGGCCGAGCCCATGCTGAAGCTCCAGCCTGCACAGATGAAGCAGAGCAGCCGATGGTTCCATCCCTCAGACGGAGGCAGACATGTGGTCTTATCAGGAAGACAAATAAGTTGAGCTTCACATTTTAGATGGTAGTCGGCCTGGAGTGCTCCCCACATCTTACATTATAGTACAGCATTTCGCTTTCCATCCACACACACACTCACTGACCCTGGATGGGATCATCAAAAGGAATCATCAACTTGTCAAATAAATGAAACTGATTTCAGAGCCTTCAGTGCTGATGTCTACGTTTGCATTCGAGAAGCAAAAGAGCGACATGCTGATCAGGAAAATGCCTAAAAACAAGAAATGAACTGGACAAGAAAAGAAATTTCCCTTTCAGCTTCCAGTATATCTAAACTCTCTGCGATTTTCCCAGTTCTAGATGTTTCCCTTAAAGCACCATCCTGTGCCCAACTCAATGCACTTACAGTACAGCCCCAGTTTTACAAAGGATATCATGAAGGCAACATGAGCGGTATACTATAGAAAAAAACACCTGATCCAAAAATAGCCCACAATTAATCCTCCTCTTCCTCGCTTCAGGCCAATAGTAGGGGGCTCACACACATTCCCCCCCCCCCCCAGTGGCAGTGCGGATAACCATAGTCAGCCTTCTATTTAAGGGATGGGTGGCCCAGTATCTTCAGAAGGATCGCAGGAGACAAACTGCACGCATGCACATTTTTGCCCAGGTTAATGCTAATCTCTATGCAAAAGGCAATTACGCTAAGTGCTTCCTCGCACAACGGTAGCAGCGCGTCCATTGAAACAGACACAATCACTCCACTTCTAAGTGCAGCTGCTGCCTTCACGTTGTCGCCCTACTCTCCGTGACTGAGGGGAACAGGGGAACGCGTGAGAATGACAAAACGCTGCCTGATGTGACCGCGGCGACTCTGGCATTCATTATCTCAAAGCATTGTCTGCTTCACCACTCATGTGAGTGTTTGCGCTTGATAGAATTTGCACTAAATCTTCCGTAAAAGAGTACTTACTTAAGCTAGCCCCTTAGCTAGCGAATAGAAAATGAAGTACTCTGCTAATCTTCAGGGGCTGGAAACGTGTTTTGGTGCTGAACTGCACTTTGGTCTCCTCCACCTCCCCCCAAACCAAACTGAGCCTTTGGCTCTCATCACCACTGTCCCAATAAATCTTTCAAGGAACTGCCCTTGTGTAGAAGGAGAGCTCCACCCCACGTCCCACTGCATCACGGGAGTACACTTGATGCAGGAAACCACTGGCCGCAGTGCGTGTGTGTGAGTGCGCTCGCTCCCGTGTGTGCGTGTGCCTTCACACAGTTCAATATCACCTTCTCACTTGGTTGGGCAGTAGAGATGTGTGAATCACGCAGACAAAGCCCGCAGTGCAGCTTATGTCAGAGGACTATGGGAAATGCCCATAAACACATAATGAAAGAACAGGGCAGGGTAAACCTTCCCAGAATTAAGAAGAGGCAAAGCAATATACACTTAAGTTTGCGTGTGAATTTCTGTGCAGGCAACACAAAAAGATTTGTGAACATCTTTATTTTTCTAAATCTGCAATCATAAAAACCCCATTTAATTCTATTCCACCCATTTACCTTCCAACCACCTACACTGATCCGGGTCATTGGACTGAACTGAGCTGAGGATGGCAAATCTAAATGGTAACTTCATTACTTCACGTCACTTTTACTTTCACACCAACTGTGTCCAGGACACGAAAGCCCAGAGGCGAAGCTGGAAATTCTGGACCCCCTGACAAATGTCACCTTGGGTCCCCCCTGCAAATATGAGTCCCACACATAAATTTTCAGTAGATTTTGTGGGGGGGGGGGCATCCCCTCTCAGCAGATTTTGCTCAGTGGGGTGGCCACTGAGGGTAGATTTTTGGGGGCCCATACAGGCAGCACTGCACCCCAGCAGCACTGCACCCCAGCAGCACTGCCCTCTAAGTGAAGTCCTCTGAATTAAACTGAGGGGTCTTTAGATCAGTACATAGCAGAGCTGCTCAAAAGACGTGTCTGACCTGGCTTTCTACTCACTGGCCAGAGATGACTCACTCAAGGTACTGCATTCACTCTGTTCCCAGTACTACAAGGTACTGCATTCACTCTGTTCCCAGTACTACAAGGTACTCCATTCACACTGTTCCCAGTACTACGAGGTACACCATTCACCCAGCTTCCAGTACTACAAGGTACTGCATTCACTCTGTTCCCAGAACTGCAAGGTATTCCATTCAGTCTGTTCCCAGTACTACAAGGTACTCCATTCACTCTGTTCCCAGAACTACAAGGTATTCCATTCAGTCTGTTCCCAGAACTACAAGGTATTCCATTCAGTCTGTTCCCAGTACTACAAGGTACTCCATTCACACTGTTCCCAGAATTACAAGGTATTCCATTCATTCTGTTCACAGTACTACAAGGTACTCCATCCAGTTTGTTCACAGTACTACAAGGTTTCACACCAAAGACATCCCCTGTAACATTTGTAGGTGTTACTAATTATGAACATATGTTCAAAATCTACAGTATATTACTATATTGAATGAACATATGGCCAATAATCTACAATATACTATGTAAAATTTCCTATATGATAGTTCCATCTTCTCTATTCCATAGATTTTTTTATGTAACAATTTGAACTAAATGTTTTACACTGAAGTATAAAATGCATTTATGAAATTGATGCACCATACAAATGATCTTAAATACACCTTCATGGCTCCAAGGTGGTGCAGTGTTTAGCACTGTTGCCTCACACCTCTGGGACCAGGGTTTGAGTCTCTGCCTGGGTTCCATGTGTGTGGAGTTTGCATGTTCTCCCCGTGTCACCGTGGGGTTTCCTCCGGGTACTCTGGCTTCCCCCACAGTCCAAAGACATGCTCAGGCTAATTGGAGTTACTTAAATTGCCCATAGGTGTGAATGGCGTGTGAGTGAATGGCGTGTGAGTGAATGGCGTGTGAGTGAATGGTGTGTGAGTGTGCTCTGCAATGGGCTGGCCTCCCATCCTGGGTTGTTCCCCGCCTCGTGCCTGTATCTTCTGGGATGGGCTCCAGACCCCCTGTGATCCAGAAGGATAAGCGGTTTGGAAAATGGATGGATGGGTATAGAATGGTGCTTCAGCTGAATTTTGAGTCGTGTATCCAACTCCCAATCTAGGGCAACCCAACAACTCTGGGGCCACTCAAATACCCCTAAAAATAAGCACAAGACCTGAAATACACCCCACAGCTTTATGAATACATACACAAACTTGTTGTCCCAACAGAAATTCATCACTTTTCAAAGTTTCTGCAGTACGAACGAGGGAGGTTTACCAGAAATAATTTATCTGTTTAAATATTATGTTGCATGAGATCATGCTGCAGAAACTTCTGGTCTTGAGACCAGCAAATTATTCATGACTCAAATATTATAAATAAGCTATAAAGACTACAGCAACATAGTATATGATAAGCAGTATGTCAGATGGATAGATGAATGGATATTACAGGTTCTACATTTCAGGTAGTAAGGATTATTCATACCAAACTGAGCTTGACAGCTGTGCTAGGCAGGACTGTAAGATTTATTTGGTCACAGGCCACGGGCATTTTCCCAAAAGCAAAAAGATCATCCTGAAAAACCATATAGAAAAGCATTTTTTCCTCACAGTGTATGAGAGGGTTAATGTGTATATCAGTGGGAGGGACCACAGAGGGGCCAATAAGCCTCTAGCTCATCTGTGCCGCATCTCTATGACCATGTGCTCGGCTACGCGGCAGCTGGTACCTCCTCCCATGACAAGCCGACCTTTGAGGTGGAGGCACCCAGGCTGGGGCCCCCTGAAAAAGCCCTCGGTGACACACAGCCCTGCGATACTCCACCCTCCCGGCTGAAGGAACCATGAGGGATGGCTTTGGGACCCAGCCTCAGGTTCCTTCACCCACCACCGGCTGAAAGAAGGTAACGCAGCAGAACCAACTTATTCCAAAGGCCAAGTTAATAGAAAATGTTAAGGCTGAAAACTAATCGATTGACCTCAATTATGAGCTGCAACTCTCTATAGGCAAGAGAGAGAAAATTAGCTTTCTTTATGGGGGACCTGTTTTCTTTGTCAAGGTTCATTCTCCTTTATGTAAAATCGATGAGGGCCCTCCGTGATGAAACGTCTGCCTGTGCTGACCCCCCCCCCCCCCCCCCCCCCCCACACTATACAGAGCACTTATGCTATTGCACATATAACAAAGTCATGCTTTGGCACACCACAGAAACTCCAGAACACATTATCAGCTATTAGCTATTAGCAGCATCACAGTGCCTTTTTCATTTAAGGGAATCACCTTAAGGAGATATTTCAATCACCATAACATTGAAAATGCCATTGGGAATCCTGAAGACCTAGATATTAGCCAGATGTTCTGGGGGAATACCATCCATATGTTGTCAGGACTGCACACTGACCTCGCCTAGTAATAATTAGATATCCACAAATCTGGCACTTGTGTACAGCAGTGACAGTTTATTTTAAAGTAACGGGTGTTACTGACCGTGTCAGCTGTGTTGTGCTGGATTCATTTTCTCTATGATTAATGGTCACGGTGTACGTTTTCCTTTTTGCCTTAAGCAATTTAAACACATTTTCATATTAGTAGATGCTCTTAATCAAGGTCACAAAAAGATGTGCTAGTTCAGAGTAGCATATACATTAGCCACATGTGCTACACAGAGTGAATTAAGTAAATAATAACATAGGCATGCTGTAGATTTTAAACGCTCAGGTAACAATGCAAAGAAATCCTAGTTTTGGGTGAATTTACATGATGTGAATTAGAGTGTCTGACTGCATTTCATACATTCTGCATAAAATATACCTTCCTGGCCGCTTGTTTATACAAAACAGCAGCAACTTCTCTCTGAACATTGACAAGCTCAGCTCCTTACATTCACTGACCTAACTTTTAAGCTATGATACTGAGGAAGGACCAAAGCTTAAGCTGGCTAAGGTCCACAAATCATAAAAATCCCTTCACATTAGAGATTGTGCTGATTACAAGCGAGTTAGGGCACATATACTGTAACACCGACATAGAAACCCCAGTACGGTACTGGCTGGACAAGTAGCTAGACTAGACATAAACACTCTTATGTTATTGCCTTAATTTAGCTAACACTGTGTGTGAACAATGATACCATAACTAACGGTGAACGAAAATAACCCCAACAAAGGAGGTGAGATTATGTAAACAAATGCACTGCGACAGGACAAGACGAGGGTAATGAAAACCGCAGTGGGCGCAAGACGCAGGACGGAACTGCAAAGGCATTCCGAGACGAAGCAGCGGGCCGGTCCTGCTTCGGTTCTGCTGAAATGATACGTTTAGGGCTACTGATTATATTTTACTCTTTTTAAACCCTTGTTTTTTGGACATTTCTGTTTCAGTGATGGTTCCTTGAACCTGGTGATGTTAAAGGACACCCGTCTGTTAATAAAGCAGAGCTGAGTCTCCGATTACCTTAAGGCTCCTCTCGTGCAGCAGATGCGGGGAATAACGCTGCAGTCAGGCGCTGTTGGCAAAAACGGCTGCGGTCTGACTAATAAGACTCGCTGACCCAGCGGCTGGAAGGTGCTGTGCTCTCAGGGGGAGACAAGGCTTCTTCAAAACACCGCGAGTCTCGGGCGGGAGGGAGTGTATCACACTCGTCTGGCGAGGGGCATAAATCACAAACCAAGGTTTATTCAAAGTAAAGGAGGAGGTTTACTGTACTCTGGGTGAGGGGGGGGGGCAGACTTCAGACCCAGCTCAGAAGTAAGATGGACTCCCTCGGCTATGCACCGGGAGTACGGTGCTGCTTTAGCACATGCCAGTGTTTACCTTTGAAGTGAAGGTCAGCATCATTTTAAAGGGCAGTCAAATAAGGCTGCATTAGGGTATAACTCTGCCAAGAAACCTCATACAGGGATCGCACTGGAAACATGTCTCTGTGGCGGCCTGCCACAGCAAAAAAATCATCTACTGTATACAACCAGTCATCAGTCATCTAATCAAAGTCCTTGGTGACTCGCCTTGGAAGCCCAGGCTTTCTGACACGGCTACAGTGTGAATGTGAAACTACAGTGTAACAGGTTACAGTACTGGGGGTGGGGTGGGGGCTTCTCCCCCTTTATTCACTGCATTGATATCAATTGAGAGTTAGCAACACATGTTGCTTTGTCGTTATGGAAGACTGAGTGGGAATGAAAATGTATCTATCCTGGGTTGTTTTTACATGATACATGAATGGGTTTGTATGTGAAAGGGGTCCCACACTGGGAGAGTTATGCTGTGTGCAGTGCAGTTAGACGAGGCACATACACAGACTGTGTGGTGCAGTTAGACGAGTCACATACACAGACTGTGCATCGTGACTGGTGGCCGTGCTGTGGCATTACCCTCTGTTTTGTCCTTCTATGGTTATACATTGGGGTTGAAAAATAATTGCGTACACGAAAGGACTCCTCAAAATACGCAAACTACAGTATCATCAAATCCAGTCTCGTATTTTTCTTCAGCTGTTACCTTTCTGACGTCTTTCCCAGCGGAGCTGCAGTTCTGTCGCAAGCGGTAAAATGCATGCAGAGTGGAAATCACACTAATGCACTTTGGGCTTGGGGGAGAACATACTCACCAGGCTAATCTCTTAACGCTTTGCAAAAACCTAGATGGATTGAAACTCCTGACCAAGATAAATAAGGACTCTTCCCCTCATTTGCCTTCTGCTTTGCAGAATCGTGGTTATATGAGTCGATTCAGGACAACAGCAACCTGGTTTCCAGCCACGCAGACAGGATCGCAGGTCACTCCTTTCTAAGGAAACATATTGCATTGGCATAACTATGCCACGGTGCTTTTGCAACATGCTCTCCTGACCTGGAAATCTTTTTTCATAAACTGCAAGCCCTGCTCTTCTCCCTGGGAATCCGTCTCTTTTATTCAGACCGGCGTATACATTCGACTACAGTCCTTTTTGCTTGAAGTGCAAGAGAGACTAGCTGAGCAGGAACTGGGCTGGAAAAGAACAATCTGGAATGCCAGATTATCGCTGTAGCAACATTGTACATTTCTAAAACACATTTGAGCAAGGATCTCCCTAAACACAGACAGTACATCACATGTGCTACCAGGGAGGGGAAGATACAGTACTAGACCATTTCTACGCATACAGCTCTGAGACATTCCAGCCACACCATGGTCCATCTCATCCCGAAGTACAGGCAAAGACTAAAATGAGTCAAGTCCATCGTATCCAGTAAGAAAATACAGAGCAAATATACCATAGTAAAGCTACGGAGCTGGTTTGACTTTACACACTGGAATGTTTTCAGGGTTGCAACCAGAAGCCTAGACAAATGCACAGGCGTGGTGACATCATGCATCATGCTTTTGTGAAGACCACCATCTTCCTGAAAGGTCCTGGGTTATTTAAAACACTGACAAGCCCTGGCTCACAGCAGAACTCAGAGAGCTTCTTAGGGCAAAAGAGGACGTCTACAGGAGCGAGGGTAATAAGACTGCAGAGTACAGCGCGGAGAAGGGAGACAGAGTAGCCAATCAAAGGCGCTCTGAAAAAATGAAGAACAAGGTATTCGCTGTGAAAGGGAATGCAGGAAGCTACAAATAGAAAGAGCACCTATCTACAGACAACTGCACTTCAGCTACAGGTCTAAACAGATTGTACTGCAGATCTGAAAGGCCTGAAGCTGACCTAGAACAGCTACCCATGATTCATCCTGTCTGCCCCACAACTGCACTAGTCTGCACACAACTGACAGCACACACGCCCCCTATGACCAGCACTGCACCATATACTGCACATTTATTTATTGAAACGTATTTACTAGTTAATGTTGTCTGTAAGTTGACTATTGATTTCAACTGCACCCTGTCATGTTTGTTAAATGTCACTGCAAGCACCAGGCCAAGCTGAATTCCTCAGCCAATGAGCATAATTCTGATTCCGACATGTAATATATCAGCATCATTTTCTCATACATTCACATTCATTCATTCTGCAACATTGCCTCTTCTCCAGCCCTCTTGTAATTCACTTTATTGATAGACGTCACTTACTTCCTGCACAGTGAATTATATAAATCATGGGGCTCTGCCTCATCTGTCCCATCACTGGCGCCAGTGTCCTTTAAATATCCCCAGTGCAGCATGCATTAATCATTTAACCCCCCCCCTCCACCCCCACATTCTCTCCGAAATGACTCACAACACAAAGCAGGGTCTTATCCTAGATTTACAGGTAGCCTATGCGTATTGTCCTCAGCAAAGTCATTAATATAACGATTAACGTACAAACTTTATGAAAGATGCTATAAACTTGTTCCTGTTGCTACATTTTAATGCCCTTTATCCTGGTGGACAAGAGATGCTTAAACCTTGCACAAAGGCAGCTATTGTTTCATAATGCAGGACAATATGTTTTATCTTTTCACACAACGTATAAAAGCATAGTACAAAGAAAAAATCATTTTTATGTTATATATTCATAGAGTACATCTGCTTTTAATACAGCCACATCCACACGGCACTGTGCATTTCTCTGATTAATGCTAATTATACAGGAGTTGAGCAATACACTGGGAATTTTGTTTCTCAACCAAAACACAATGTGTTGCATAATTATTGTAATTTCTTAGCGAGAGAAATTGCAGCTGAATACATGTTTAATTGAGTTGTGAGGTGGATTGATTATTATCCACATTAGCTAAACCTACAGAACAAGTGAACAGACATCAGACCAGCAGCGTTGTGGTAAACGCCCCATTACTTAAAGGTTAAGGGACCTATCGGGAGAGTAGTCGAAGGATCGCCTGCACTATTTTAGCTCTGGGGCATTTTCATAAAGGCACGTGATCTACTAACTGTGGCCAGTCAACGGCATATCACTTGCCTCTTCCAATCTCCACAACCTGTAGCTAAAATTCATTTTTGTCCACTAGAGGGCACTCACCATAGTGCGGGATGATGGCCCAGGCCATAGCGGAGGCGTAGATGCCCCCGATCATCCAGAACATGCAGAGCCAGCTCAGATGCTCTCCCCGCTTCTCCCGCGCCAGCACCTCCGAGAAGTACGAGAAGACGATGGGCACAGCACCGCCAATCCTACAGGAAGGAGAAGAAGGCAGGGAGTTTGCCAAGGCTGTTCCAGGAAAGCGAGCGACTGGCAAATGAGGTGTCAAAAGAAGACATACAACACTCACAGAGGACACCTATAAAACTGACTCCCTTTTTCCAAAGTGCCAGGCAATATGAAGCAGTATGTTTGGGACACTGTGAATGAACTGGTACAGTTATAATGAGTTATAAGACGTGGCGGAGTCAGTACCTGCCGGGAAATCAGCCAAATGGTCTCCATACACTACGATGGCGGATAGTGATGTCAGAGATAAGGTTTCCTAGACGTGGTATATAGTGGGGATGCAAAAAAAAAACTACCCGGTGCACGTGAGAGGGTCATGGGTATAAGTGTCATCACAATGACTGCAAGAAGCATTTACTCTCTGACTACTCTAGATTCTGCATATATACTAAGACAGGGAGGAAAGGAGTGTGTGGTGAGCGAGGTTCAATAGCGCAGTGGAGCGGCTGAGGTTTCAGTCTGTTCCTTTAACCCACAACACCAATATCGGTTAAATAAAGAAAATTAAACTGCTTCACCTAATACATTGTAAGGAACACTGCAGGTCTTTTTTTTAAGTACGTTTTTCTTTAACTGCTTGCTTTGCTAGACGAGAACCTGAAATGATTCAGACAGCAAGAAAAAGCAGACGCCTCCCAGGCTATTTATCTAGGTGGTGTAATGAACCTGCCAAGACAAGACACAGAGAATGGAAAGCTTTTTTAGCGAAGCCTTCCAGCCTCCAGTTTTCACCAGATCATTTCCACGTCTTATATAGATCTTATATAAAACAAACCATCTGCCTACAGAGCTTCCTAATAATATCCATCACTGCCTTGGCGCCGTTGCGCCTTGAGGGTTCCTGTCCCGACCGAAGACACCTGCACACCAACTAAGTGCTTTAAGTCCTTTACAATTTGTTTTTTTTGTTGTAATATTATACACTGTACCTGTGCAATGGTGGATCTAAACTTATATGGCATTTTGCCCCCTCTGCCGTAATGTTCACCAAAGCTATGCTTCAGTGATACCATTGGAAACAAGGCATAATGGTTTATTTGAATTCTAAACATGGTTTACTAAAGAACAGGTGATCAAAATATGGTATACTAAACCACTACCAATTAAAACATGGTATACTAAACAATCACCAATCAAGTCATGGTATACTAAACAACTGTCAGTAAAAACATGGTATACTAAACATCCGTCAGTCAAAACATGGTATATTAAACAACAGCCAATCTAAACATGGTTTACTAAAGAACAGGTGATCAAAATATGGTATACTAAGCCACTACCAATTAAAACATGGTATACTAAACAATCACCAATCAAAACATGGTATACTAAACAACCATCAGTCAAAACATGGAATACTAAACAACAGTCAAACAAATCATGGTATACTAAATAACAGCCAAACAAATCATGGTATACTACTGTAAATAAATGCCAAAGTTAAAAATACAAATACAAATATCTCACATTTATATGTGAAAGTGATTACTGTATGACACACATACTGTACAGCTTTGTTCTGGGAATTTGTGTAATCTCTCAATATCATGCATAATTATTGTGACTTCTGACAGTTAACTAAATTATGTTTTATAGTGACACTGATCATCAAGCAGAACTGAGCGGCCTCATGCTAATTTGTTGTTGGTCATAAAAGGCTTCCTTTCATACGGCCAAGATCCTTAAATAACTGGAGGAAATTTATTTAATGATCTCAAAGGACTACATTAGATATAAAAAAAATAATTAGACTGTAGCAGATAACTTCCACAATTAATTAAAAAAATACATCAAGGGTATTCTGCATGCACACCTGGGGTTGTGGGAAATGGACAAGTTTCCACAAATAAACTGCTAACAGTATTATTGTTAAATAATCAATATTTAGGGTAAAAGTCACTCTTGGTTGTTTATGTTGTCACACAACAGTTAGTAAATGTCACCCATTTTAATCATGGGAAAACGGCGGCAAGAAAAGAATGGATGCAAACAAACAGACTTCAAAATGCTATTGGGGTCCGAACAGCAATCCTGCAGCAAGTGATTTTCAGGGCTACATAGTAACAGAACAAAGCAGATTCAGTTACAATTGCTGAATTCCATATGTTAAAAAAAAATCAGGAAAGTGATAATACCGGTTTTACAGCAAAAGTTATTCAGAAAGTCACTCCTTCCTTCCTTAATTTTCCCAAAACCACTCATTCCATGCCAGATAACAGAGAACCTATCCAGTCACGTACCAGGTACAAGGCAGAGTACACCCTAGCTGGGAAAACAATATGCCATAAACACAGACATTTACAGTAATACCTTACCCTAGATCAGTCAAAAAGCACCTTAACATGAAAACCCCCTATAAACACCCCCTATATCCAAGCATTTCCTTACATGTATAAACCTCATTAATGCTAAATTAAAGAAAAAACAAAAAATAAATAAATTTATCAAAAAAAATTAGGAGTGATGTCGATGTTTCCATATACTGTACTATATTTTTAACAAAGTATGACGAGGTATTACTCTACTGCTAATCTAAAATATCATTATGATAAATCTGTCTTCACTTCCAAATCATGCCCAAATATATGATTTCAAGGTTATTATTTTTCATAAAAATATTTTGAGAATTAACTATTTTTCTTATAATTACAAAAACAGTACTGTATTTTGCATTCAACTACGTTATATTGATATGGAAGAGATTTTCATACCAGCTTTCATTTTGAAAATATTGAGAAGATTATGTAAAGTTACAATTTTTACTGTCGCACCTGTCTGTAGGACACAACAAAAATATATTGTTTGTTTTTCAAGCATTTGTTTATTTCTCAGTAAAAGCAAATGGAGGGATAAGCATATCTATGATCTACACAAATAGTCCAGAAAGCAGTTATATGACAAGCACAAGCAATCAAAGATAATCGTGATAAGAGTCCGAAAATTAAGTGTTTTGAATCAACCCAGTTGCTGCCGAGTCTACAATGTCATCCAATTTGGTGCAGGCAGAAAACACTGAATGTTAACTGCACACATAAACAGTACACACACACACACACACACACTAGGTATCTATTTCTTTGTGGGGACTTTCTATGGGCATAACCGTAATCCCAACTACATCCCCATTCCTAAAACAAGATTGGACGCTGTGTAAAATGTGAATAAAAACAGAATACAATGGGCGTGTGTGAGTGTGGCCAGGGATGGGATGGTGCCCCATCCTGGGTTATTCCCTGCCTTGAGCCCATAGGCTCTGGACACCCCCCCCCCCATTCAAACTGAGCATATATTTGTCATAAAACTTTAAAACTTCTCAGTTTTAACATTTGACATGTTGCCTTTGTTCTACTTTCAATTAAATATTGGTTTATATGATTTGCATTCTGTTTTTATTTACATTTTACAAAGCATCCCAACTTTTTTGGAAATGGGGTTATATGACAACCTTAAATCCAACCCAGCCTAAACTTTGACCATAAGTAACCAAACGAAATATAAGACCTGTAGCATTTTTAGTTTTTTGATTGCAGTCACAGACTTTTTATACAATTGAGTTTCCCCTTGTGGGGACTGGAAAAAATGTCTCCACAAGGTCAAAATTACAGGTGTATGTATGTGTCTATATACTGTATATAAATATATAGACACACACACACACACACATACACACAACGGATTGTTTGAGGAGGTATATATGTTAAAAGTCAAAGACACAATATGTCTAGTAAGCAGAATTATACTGCAGATGCATTTTGCTTGGCCCTACCTAAATTTATATATTTTTCTATTCACTTATGATGCACTTATGATATTGACCAAAGCCCGGCAGCAAAACAGCCCCCCTTTTGTTGCTTGTATTATTCAGAGAGACGGAGATGTGAAGGGGCCTTCGAAGCAGGACTTCACACAGAGCTGCCAGCTTCAGAAGCTCTATTAAGGAACTAAACAGCAGCTCCTGTCCAGCAACTTTCAGTCATGCTGCAGTCTTACACCTTTCAACATGAGCACCACAATATCCTCCCAAAAATGCTCATTGGGGGGGCATGGTGGCTCATTGGATTGCTGTGTTGGGGGTGCATAGCAATTTCCTGTTTCCCAAGCTACACAGATTTCTTGTGGGTACTGCTGCCTTCAAATTTCCCATAATGTATGACTCTGCGTGTGAAATATGTGGACCGGCATCCCATTCTAGGTGTACCCAGGCCTTGGGCTCCATGATGCCTGGGACAGGTCCCCCACCACTCTAACCTGGATAAGTGGTTAGAACAGGGGTAGGCCACCCTGATCCTGGAGTGCTGGTACCCAGCAGGATTTCTATCCTACCTGATGAGTTACCATCTGCCTGAGATCAGGGGAGGTTCCTCAGAGACCAGGTAAGATGGGAAACCTGATGGATACCCGCCCTCCAGGATCAGGAGCCTCAACCCCTGGGTAAGAAGATGGACGGAAATTCTAATAACCAGGGCAAAAGTCATAGTTTAGATTATTTCTAGTTTGTTGGACAAATTGAATTAGATTTTAAGCCGAGAAAGAAACTGGGTCTAAGATTTCCCGCTGGTGGAGGAATATCACCCTTCAGGAAAACCCAAACAAGTAAGTCAGTAATTCCGAGAGTCTCCTGGGAGACAGACAGCAGGGTGGGGGGCCCTGCCGGGTACTCACCCGAACCCGGACACCATGCGGCACAGCAGGAAGACGCCGTAGCCCTGCACGAAGGAGGACAGGAAGGCGAAGAAGCCGTTGACAGACATACAGATGAGGAGCGTCTGTCGACGGCCCACCTTGTCCGACAGACCCCCCCAGAAGAAGGCCCCCACCATCATTCCCAGGTACACGATGCTGCCTGGGTAGAGAAATGAGGAGAAGGCAGTTAAATACCAGCCATGCTGAGCTGAGGCTAGAACTGCGGGTACAGGAATATGCCTGTGCTACAGTGACTGAGCACAGCCCATTTACACTGAGCACAGCCCATTTACACTGAGCACAGCCCATTTATACTAAGCACAGCCCATTTACACTGAGCACAGCCCATTTATACTAAGAACAGCCCATTTACACTGAGCACAGCCCATTTATACTAAGCACAGACCATTTACACTGAGCACAGCACATTTACACTGAGCACACCCCATTTACACTGAGTACAGCCCATTTATACTAAGCACAGACCATTTACACTGAGCACAGCACATTTACACTGAGCACACCCCATTTACACTGAGCACAGCCCATTTATACTAAGCACAGCCCATTTACACTGAGCACAGCCCATTTACACTTAGCACACCCCATTTATACTAAGCACAGCCCATTTACACTGAGCACAGCCCATTTATACTAAGCACACCCCATTTACACTGAGCACAGCCCATTTACACTGAGCACAGCCCATTTATACTGAGCACACCCCATTTACACTGAGCACACCCCATTTACACTGAGCACACCCCGTTTACATTATTTAGTCTATACAGCATGTATCTTATTTAACATACAACATATACATGCCTGTTATATAAAACCTCGTCTCCAAACAAGTTGGGACACCAGCAACTGGTCTCCTCAGTTCCCAAACGTTTACAGAGTGTTGTTAAAAGAAGAGGTGATGCAACACAGTGGTAAATATACTCCTGTCACAACGTTTTTGAAACGTGTTGCTGGCATCAAATTCAAAGTGAGCATATATTTCTCAGATTGAACATTTGATATGTTGTATTTGTTCTATTTTCAATTAAATATGGGTTTATATGATTTGTAAATCATTGCATTCTGTTTTTATTTACATTTTACACAGCGTCCCAAAGTTGTTTGGAAACTGGATTGTATATCTGTAGCTGTTTTTTTTTTGTTATCATTTATGCAAATACTCTATGTAACATGGATGTAACTGTATTTAGTATCATGTATGCAACTTTATTAAACATCATGTATTTCATGGATTCTCTGATTCATGTAGCTATTTCATACATTATTTACTCAACTTTTCTCAGAAGATGACACATGTTCAGGGATCATTATGTTATTTTGCTTAAACATGTTGCCCACCAGTTCTTTTCCTTGGAAAACACCTTTCAGCCAGTCAGGGGCGCTGTAAAGGGGGGGGTAAACGATGACGATTCTCGGGGCCCATGACTGAGAGGAGGCCCAGAGAAAAAAGTCTCAGCTGTGTTGGGGGCCCTGTCAAGATTCTTTTCATGGGGCCCAAAATCATTAGCAGCGCCCCTGCAGCCAGTATAAGGCCATGTTACTCAGGCAATGTTAGTAGAAACTCAAGGTATAATTAATGTTAATGTTTGTTAGATTAATATTATTTTTATAATTTCACCACAGATCTGTTCAACTGAGTGATTAAATTAAAAATGCAATTTTTTAAATTTCCATTGATTAATATATACGCAGAATATTGTTGATAAAATCACTATACGGTTCATTTAAGGGTATTTAATTGTATTTCATAGTATTCTGATCCCAGTTTGACCTTTTAAGTGTATTGTGTGAATAAGACTCATTTTAAAATCCAGTCAGCGTATCCATAAACTGACAATTACAGTCAGTGATTTAATGGAAAAACCTGGTAACTACCCTAAAAAAGATACCACCACGATCTTTTCATGTTTCATTATGTATAACATCATTGAGTATAGCTCGTCTAGAATGCACATCCATCTGGGTAATTGGTAATAGTCCTAGATTATATGACTACTACATAGAACATTTGGCATCAAAATCCTATTGTGTCGAGGAAGTAATGTTATATTTAACACATTCCTAGCTAGAATAACCTTATTTCCCAAAAAAAATCTGTGTATGGTTTTGCTGGGTATTACTGTACCCAGTACCAATCAGAAACTTTATTATCAAACTAAGTATAAAAAAAGAACCATAGCATATTTCATGCGTTTCAAAATTTCCGAAATTTTAACGAAACCAAATTAGCATGCATCGGTTCATACATTTGGGTTTTGATTTTAATCTTGCCTTTACGACGTGCTGAATTCAGCCTTTTTCGCGCTTGGGCGAGTTCGCAGAGCCGCGTCTGGTTCTCTACCACAACAAATGCGTGCCAATCACTCTTCATGAAGGCGACTGGCCCATGTCGTCGAGCAAGCCGCTATACTTACCAGAATTAAAATATGCTAATAGAAATGCTAATTCTGCGCGGAAACAAGCGGCCGACCCGCGTACCACAACTCCCCAGGTGCAGAGCTGACGTTTCCCCCCTCCCTCCTTTTTACACCGTCCCGATCGGGGAGATATCCCAAGTTTGTTTCCTTATCGGGAGGTACAGATGTGATGAGGCAGCTTTTGGCCAGCGCTGTAATTCATTATTCTTGACAGCTACGGGAATGGAAAGGCGCTGCGGCGTGAGATCGCCGCTGCGGGAGAAACGCTGCAGTCAAACGATCTGCTCCCAGCGCAGCGCCCTTCATTCCCGCTCCACCCGCAGACATACAGCACGTGTGCCAGTGTCAGCGATCAGCGCCTATTAGTTAGGGGCACCTGCTTATTAACGCAAACCACCTACTTCTCCTAAGAGCGAATGGTCACTGCAAGTGAATACTGTACACGCATGCAGAAAGTAACGAGAGGTTCAGGTTACTGTCCAGGTCAGATGCGTGATTTAACTGACTTTACACGTGGCGTGATCGCCGGTGTTCCAGCATTTCAGATATAACCACCCTCCCGGGATTATTTAACGCACTCGAGTTTACAGAGAGACGCGTGATGAAGAAAAAAAGCATGGTAGTCAGTTGTTGCCGAAAATATTAGAAAATATTAGAAATATAATTATTATAATTAGAGATCACCAGAGAATGGTTAGAGTCGTTAAAGCTGAACTGTTTTTATATTTTAAAAATTCTGAATATCCGAGTTGAATATTTGTTATGACTACCATTAGCCTACTGCAAGGTATGCATAAAACTTACTGAACTCGGAAGGCACAAGTTATGCGCTGTAACTTTGAGTTATCTGTTTACATATTTACAGCGAATTTCATTAGCTGTAGTGGTAGCGGCTCCCCTGCATCCTATGAAATCGGCTACATGTAAAAGACATAAGGGGTCTTACATATTTTAAGACGAAAAATAATATCAACTAATTAGACATGAATTGAACTACAAAGAACAACCATATATATATATATACATATACACACACACACACACACATTTTACACCTGTGTCTATCGTGCGTCTCTAACGTGTCCAGGTCGTGTTCAGGTGACTAAACTTGTGTTCAGATTACTGCCCGGGCACAGTTATTGAGACCTTCTGGTCGTGGACGCATCCGGACACATTCGCATTAACGCTACAAAGCATATGTAGTGAAATGCGTGCGAGACCACCTCGGCAAGTGGTTTAATTTAGTGATTGGATCACGATGCATCTTGGTCATTTACACTTGAATTTAGCGCTATCCACTTGCCGTGCGATCACCCAAGATGCACTTTACGTCCCGTCATCTGGACTCGACTCACCACAGTATTTTTATTTTTGCGCAGTTTCCCAGGTCGCAGTTATAGATTTTAGAAGGACATGCACTATGTGGAAAAACAACGACATCAGCTGGCTGCAGAGTAAGTTGTTACTTTGTCTGGTCAGCAGTGCGTTAAATTAAAATGAGCCATCCTTTAGGGTGAATCAGTGTTACATTAATCTAAAGGTGGTGGTGGTGGGGGGGAGGGGGGATATCTGATAGCAGAGCTGTCAGACTGTGACCTCAAAGACAATTCACTTGAATTATATACAGGACCTGATCAGTGAGGCCTAGCACGACCTCACAGGGGGACTCTGCAGTTTTGGTAAAGCCACGCCCCCTGCTCACATTGTCCTTTGGTTGACCTCAGTCCGGCACCTGGACAGCCTGTTTTAATAGGTCGTATTTTATAGTCTCTGGCTCTCAAAGGGATACCTATTCTATGATTATAATATAACTGTCCATACTGTAGCCTTACTGCCCCCACAATAAGCCTGCATGCTGGATTTCACTCCTATAGATTCTTCTTTGAATTTGCTGGGGATTCCTATAGCCAGCGTCGATGTGACACGCTACGAGTGAGCGGTCCAGAGCTTCAGGGTGTTTGCTGCTGTTACGTTGCTGTTCGTATGTCTCTAGCATTCATTACGCAATATGCACAGCCTTTCACAGTTGTTATTGTACTTGTATCTAGTTTTATGCCCTGCCAAAGTACTGTTTTCTTATTTTAATTTCTTATTTTCAACTTACTAACAAACAAGACAAATGAGACACAGAAACTGTTATGTTGAAATTTCATTTTGCTTCATGTCTCAAGTATGATCACCGGTTACTGTCCAGATAACTCAGCACAGACACATCATCGGTCTTCCAAACAGGCACGGTCTGTAGGCGATATGGGACCCCGGGGCCTGGTTTCCCAGCCCTGCTGCCGCTCCTCAGCTCTCCCCTGCCTCAGGAGCCACACCTCTGCGTGCTCATTCACCAGAAGGACCGTCACTGTCAACCTGTTCACTGCAAGCCAGCTTTTTATCTGCATACTACACACCAAATAATGACAGCGATACCTTGTTTATTGGTCAATATCTCTGTTTCCACTATAGGGTCCATTTCTTTTTGTTTTTTTTTACACATTAGAGAATTATAATTATGTGTTTATACATACTGCTCTATATAAGCTAGTGTAGCATGATGTGAATTTTACTTTCGTTTGTTTTTAATGCATCTTTGCTTTGCTTTTGAATTATTCAGCTGGCATGTTAATCACTGTGTCGGTTGCGTTTTTTCTTGCTGCTTTGTTCTAATTATAGTGGTGCACAGTATGGCCAGCACACAATGGGAACGCTGGGAAACTCTCTGGGGGAG